ACTGCTCTTCAGGTAGCAGAGATCAGTTCCTCTGGAGAAAACAGTGGACTCTGTCATTATACCCTGCTGAGGTCACCACAGCAAATTGACACTGTTTGCCCAAAGCCAGAGCACTCCCCCAGAGCCTCTTTCTAGATTTCGTTGTATTTATTTCCACAACGGGCTTTATTCCTAGTATACATATAAATACATACATAGATAGATTTCAGATTTTTCTGAAAACCTAGGACTTTTGTCGGGTTTGAAGAAAAATTTATCTTGTCTGGCTGGGGCCCCAGTTTCTGGATTTAAGTATCCAGAGAAGAGGCCAAATTGAGAATTAGATATATTGATGATCATTATCATCCCATTTCTAAACCTAGGACTTTTGTCGGGTTTGAAGAAAAATTTATCTTGTCTGGCTGGGGCCCCAGTTTCTGGATTTAAGTATCCAGAGAAGAGGCCAAATTGAGAATTAGATATATTGATGATCATTATCATCCCATTTCAAAAACAATATTGCAGTTGTTAAGAAATTACCTGAAAAAAATTGTTTAAGATGAGTATCTTTTCTGCTGAGAAGAGCTGGACTTTTTAGAATGTTTAACAATCTGGACCAGGGTGAAAAGCAGTTCCTTCTATGTTTATTTTCTTAATAAAGCCTTTTATGTATCTCACTGTCCAATTAGAAATACTATGTGGTGGTTTCCATAAACTGAAAGTGAATTGTAAGAGATTTATGTTCTCTGTCTTCTCAAACATGAGGCTTATCTAATGAAATTGATTGGCAGAAAGTTCAATATAGCTTATTTACACAGTGCATAATTATAGAATTGGTTGTTGCAAGAGGTAGTGATAGTCACTAGCTTAGATATTTCTGTTTTTTTAAAGCATGGACAAAAATTATTTCACTGACTCTTAACCATACAATAATAGCCATGAATGGAGTTTCTACACTGAAGATGTACTGTAGCATAGGAGATCGCTACCCTTATCATGTTGTCCACTTGTTGTCTGATTTCTGAAGGCATCTAGCTGGCCATTGCAGGAGATGGAATGTTGGGCTACTTGAGCCTGTAGTCTGATCCAGCATGTTAGTGCTTATATTCTTATGAAATGAATAATCACAAAACCACAGGCCTTTTCTATGGGGGGGCAGTCCTGTGGAATGGCCTGCTGAGGTTGTTCAGGAGGGCACCTTCACATGCTACATATGAGAGAGTTTTATTCCGGAGAGAATCTGATGGAGAATAAATTATTTCAGTAGATTTGGCTCTGCTCATTCGAGACCAACAAGATTTGGGGGTATAAGGTTTGGAGAGTCAAGCTCCCTTTGAGAGAGGAGCTTTGACTCTCCAGAGCTTATACCCCTAAAATCTTGTTGGTTGCTAAGGAGCTACTGGACTTGAACTTAGCTGTTCTACTGCAGACCAACACAGCTCTCCTCTGAAGCTGATTTAATTCTTGTGTATTTTAAATCCTGAGTGCTGTTAAATTTGTAACTCTGTGCAACTTGGTTGCTGCGTTGTTTGTAGCCTTGAATCCAAGGAGTTAAGGCAGAATAGAAATGATTACATTTTTTACTAAGAGCCATTGTAGTTTAACCATTAGATTAAAAGTTGGGTGATTCAGGTTAAAATCCTGATTCAGCCATCCTGGCTACTGGGTGACCTTGGCCAGTCACTGGGTGGTATCCTGTCTTAGGTGGAATGAAATATCTTCAGTTTAGAGTGGCTTACTCCTATTTAGGTGTCTTTTCCCTTGGAAAGAGAAGGCACTTAAGTTGGAGAAAGGCTCCTTAAGCTGGAGGGTGACCACAAATCTTGCCTAGTGGATTGGTAGAACACAGTGTTTCACAGAATTGTTCAGAGGATATACAAAATTGTTGTGAAGAAGAAAAGGAGGACAGGAGAGTCATGTTTCCATGCTGAGTATCTTGGTGGAAAGGTGGGATAAAAATGCAGCAGCTAATTTTGCTCGTTTGTTGCATTAAATTGTTTTGATGTTCATCTGAGTGATGAGCAGTGTTCATGGAGGACTTCTAAAGGTAAGAGATCACAAATCTACAGTAACTGAGGCCAAGAAGTCACAGCAGGAGTTTTTTATTACTACCACATTAGACGAATGCCACAGATTTGACTAGTTTCCTTGTATTATTATATTATATTAAAACATTCTAAAATTTGTGCTTTTAATTGAACAAAATGTCTTTTCTGATTGTGCTTGAGATAATGTAAATTTAAATACTTTCATTAAAAAGCTCTGTAATACATGTATTGGTACACTGATAACTGTAACCTATTTTTTACAGTATATAATGTTAGGAGTATTTTTAAACTACACTTCAGGAATTAAATTCACTTTTAAAATAATAAACAGTAGTCAGTCCCAAAGGCTCTCAACATCAACTTTCATTTTGTAATGCAGACGCGTCCTTGTGATATAAAACCTTATGACATTTTAATTAGGAAAATAGATCATGCAATTCCATATGATGGAATAAATTTTCCCAGCACTGCAGCTTTGGTTCTACTGCATGTTCCTCTAAATTGGAATAAAAATGCATTAAAACTTGTCTAAATTAGATCAGTCTTAAAGTTGGGGAAGGGCAGGAAAGGGAGAAACTGTTGTTTTTAATTTATAGATGACCTTTCCTATACTCTAAATCCGTGCAAAGAAATATTTTTATGCTGCGTCAATACTGCATGTTGCAAAGCCATTCTATTTGTTAGGCTTCTGAATCTCTGAATGGTTTGTTTTATTAATTTTGGGTTGCAGGCAAAGGAGAAGATAGCGATGTTCTCAGCATCAATGCAGATGCCTATGACAGTGATATCGAAGGCCCCTGTAACGAAGATGAGAATTCCATTGTGCCAGAAAGGACTGTCAGAAGTGGAGATGGTCCGATAGACGACCTCCAGAAGGACATTGAGAAAAGTGTGAATGAGATCCTGGGGCTTGCAGAATCCTCCCCAAAGGAGACTAAGGCAGCAGCACTAGCAGTTCCTCCAGCAGATGATGTTCACCCATCAGCACAGCAGCTGGAGCTCCTGGAGCTCGAGATGCGAGCCAGGGCTATTAAGGCCCTCATGAAAGCTGGAGATGTAAAAAAATAGCCTCTGGGCAATTTCATTTGCAAGATGTCTATATTTATTTTGATGGGTGTGATGTCAGCTCCCTTCAGTGAGAAAATGTATTTGGACTGGATTTGACATTCCTTGTTCAAACATTTTGTGTATCCTAACCCTTGGCTGAAATAGTTGGCAGCACTTTGTCACTGCCATCAGAAAACTCCCTCTGTGACTCGCTTACATTGTCTGGTTTGATACTGTTTGATTCTTGTTGGTTACTTTTTCTTAGTGCTAGCTTGACATGAATTGTGGAACAATAACAACAACATGCCTCTCTGGCTAAATCTTGGTGCCTTATGGAAATTTCAAGAGCAATATGGGGAGTTCACCATGCTTCTCCAGCTTTTTTTTCCCCTAAGCCAGTGGGA